TTGATACTATTAATTTTTTCCAATCAATAATCCTAATATCTTGATTCTATACCTCTTTTTTCAAGTTTCAAAATTGGTCTATCCTCAAGACATAACGCTACGTTTGTAGCCCTGAAAATGTATTTCTCCACCTGAGCAATCAATGAAAATGATATATTCAAAGTGAAAAATTGATTTTACGCAAGCAATTTGGATTCATTTCAAATCAAGAATATGAAACTATTCTTTGAAAGTAAGAAATGTTCGATTGAAGGAACTGGTATTGTTAAAGAGAGAAACATATTGCCACACATATTGTCATGTACAATTCAGTTTTTCGTATCAAGAATATCATTTTTTCTGATCGAGTAAAAAATTTTTTTTAATGAAAGGAATGGTTTCGATAAACAGAATGAACGGAAGTCTCATTGAGAGTATCTTATGGAATCAGATTAGGAATATATGATTTCATCTCATCATGAAAAATGTATAAATTCAGATCGGTAATATAATTCTTTCCATTCAAAGTAATCAATATTTAACACAAAGTATTTTTCTTTGAGTGAATGAATCCAATTCTCACTGTGAGTAATTCATAATTTCAGATCAAGAAAATTATGTTATATAATAGAGTAAATTGATTTTTGCAGCGTTATAGAACAGTGCTTTCAAAAAAAGGTTCTACAGCGCTATCTAGTGGCAAGTTACAGAAAAATTGATAGCCTGAAAGCCTTCTCTAGGAAAAATTACTTATACATGTCAAGTTTCATCACGATCGGTTGAGCGATGTAGAAGTTTATCACTTACCAACCAAACAACCAACAAACATTCGTTTTCATATATTATATGGTACATGTGTGCATGCATATACATCCGTTTCTTTTATGAATATACTCACTTTCAATTACTTTGGAAATGTCAGTAATGTATATTGTCTTTTTTCAAAAATGGTACTATATATGAATTCTATTTATGCTCAAATTGCTTTCAATTGAATTTGTATATTAGGATTCCTATTTCAAATAAAGATCTCTCTATATATCTAAGAATCCACTATTTTTATTTATGGTTCTGTTAAATAGTTAAGGAATCATCCAGAATAAGTCAAACTGAACTATTGAACCAGAGTGATAACCTTCAGTAATCAAAATCGATATCGCAGAAAGATATTAAAATAACATTAGAATCTCATCAGTTTTTAGTTACTTATTGAAATGGCTTGTACAACTAAAACTACCATGACTTGTTTTTGAGATTGGAATTGCGTAATAAGTTGATTTTTTCTTCAATAATGGTGATTTTAATTTTTTGGGAAAGAAAGTTTTTGGCTTTCTACTACTCCATCTTGATACAAAAAAAGGATGAGGGAATTTTTATTTTTATTTTCTGATCAGATTTATTGATTGAGTAATCATGTTTGTGTGTAAGTTTTCAATATGAATTTTCAAGCCGCTTCTTTAAATAATTGCTCACCAAATCAATTTTTCAGAATGGTACGTAGGATTCGATGTTTTCATCAAATCTTTCAATTTTTGAGTACACTTTTCAATCTAGTCCTCCCTCTCCTTTTATTTTTTGAAAGGGTCAACCCAAAAAATTGAAATGTGGGATAATCAAATTGATGCATAAATACTTTATTTTGAAGTGAAATTGATAGATGAAACTTTCAAGTTGGCGACTAGGCGTCATCTGGAAAAAATTTAAATGGAAAAGGGGATCTTGTGACACACCATTTTGAAGCACCTGACATGATGTCAATGGTAGTTTTCAGCATATTCAAATACACTTCCCCTGTTGAATGTTGTTGAATGTACATTCAGCATGTAACCACTTCCCGCAGGTAACATATCTAAACCAAATTTCCCCATCTTTTCCGAAATCTTCACATATAACAAGCATATATCCTTCTCGTTTGAATCCACATACATGTCATCCAGTTCATCATCATCAGCATGATTTTTTCTAGTCAATTTCGTTGTCCTCGGAAGTATCAGAATCTAGTTCCATATTTCTTTCATTCATTGTTTTTTTGCGTAATGGCACTTTTGCTTTGATACTTTTACCATTTCCTTTTCGAGCAAACTTTATTTTAATCCTTCTTTGTTGCTTCTTCTCGAGAATTAATTTCATTGGTATAGCTGTTAATATTTCTGACTTTCCCTTGGTACATTTTCTAGTTTTTTTTTTTTTCAGAATATGACGACAATGGTGAAAGTTCTGCAATGCTGACTTCGTCTTTTGCTAAAGCACTTATCACTTTTGAATTTCGTTTAGGACAGGGTTGGGGTATAATTGGAACGTTGGAAGTTTACAGGCCGGGATCAGGTTGATTTGTGGAGTCCAAATCATCAGATACAGTAAGCAAATATTGACTAGCAGCTTCAAAATCCTCTTTGGTGAATTTATCTGGATTGAATGGGTGTATTTCAGATGAGTTGAAACCTGATATAGCTTTTTCCATTGTCGCAATTTCAACGTAGGCATTTTTAAATATTTCTGCTAAATCTGGGAGTTATTTTCCAGTTTTCCAGTTTTCAAAAAAATATCGCACTCCTCATTGAAAGCGCATTTGAATGGGCCAAGAAACGAAGTATGTGGCGTATGGGGTATGTGGCGGTATTGACAACATGTCAATTCGATTATCTTTGCAATAGTTATAAATCGGAATGGATATATGGCTATAATGGTTGTAGAGCACCAAGAGAACAGGTATCCACTGGAGAAAACATTTTTCGTCGCTCCAGCCATTATCGGTAACTGCATAAATTCCCTGTAGTGCTCCATTTTTCGTCAATGTAGGAGACATTCGTTTCCGAAGGAGGGGTGGAATGAAGTTCCCAGAAGCACTCATTGCGCATATGGCAGTTACGTTCTTTCCACGACGTTCTCAAGATATTCTTAATCCAAATTGTTTTACGCCTCTTGGTCCCAGTTGCTTAGTTGGCTTCTGAACAGTTGAAATCCCAGTCTCGTTAACATTGAAGATTCTGCTTGGACCAAATTTGAATTTTTCTAACAAAAATGCCAAATTGGAAAAAAAAGTTTCAACGGATTCTTCATTGAAAGCAGTAATTCTATTGAAACTTGTTCCTTCAGGTTTTCTTAGGCTAATTTGGGGGTTTCTCTCAAGAAATAATCGCAGCCAATCGTTGCATGCTTCTTGGCGAGTTTTATTAAAATCGTATCGTATGCCATTGGCTTCTGCATATTAGCTAGTTTAAGAACGTGACTTGCCAGTTGAGTTTCAACCCCAGCTGAGAAGATAGAGGGTCTTCCTAGTCTTGGACCAGATCTGTTGTTGTTCTTTCTGCGCGTTCTCAGTGTTGCCTCGTGAATGTTGAATGATCTGGAAACCGCTCGAATTTTTTGAGGCAATAGATTATCTATTGCCTCAAAAGCTTTCTGTAAGGTCTCCTCGGTTCAACCAGGGATATTTGTTAGGCACATACTTGTTAGGCATCTGAAACAACAATATGGGCAACTGAAACACATGTACTGATGGTTTCGGTATTATGCGGGTAATGGTACGCCAATGAGGGTAATCGTACGCAACCGCGTATCATTACCCGATTTACGTCATTTGTCTTATGAGTTATTTGAACAAATTATTGGTCGATATTGCCACGAAATATATACGGCATTTGGTTCAGTAGGGGCCAGTTCATTCATGAAAAAAATAGAGTAACTTCGAAATAATAATGTAATACTTACCTTTACTTGAATCACGCACAAATGCTACAACAAAAATGCCGAAAACTAAAAATGGTCTATATCTAACTAACAAAAGCGTAGAACTGAAATGTACCGTAATAGAGTTGTTGAAATACATGTGTGCCACGAGTCTATCCAATTAGCACCGACATTCACTTGGTCATACAGGGCCATGCGTACCATTGAACGCTGCGTGTGATTCCCCGCCTGTCCCTAAATGAAAATCGCTTCAATTTTTTCTTCCAATGAACGAGAATTGACCGTTTCAGAGATTGTTGATGTGGTACCTTTCTACTAGTAAAACCGAAAACTAAATGAGAATATTCTAACTAAACAAGGATGTTCATTGTCGCACTGACATTTTTTGTCGTTTTAATAAACATAAAATCTTTTTTTCCCAAATGGCGCCCAATCGCCATCGGTTGATGAATGAGTCAAGTCATAGTGTTTTGAAAATATATTTGATGAACTATTTGAAAGAAGTCCCATACTATCACGGTCTCTTATTATTTACGATTTTTTCAGTGCTGCCTTCCTAAAACTTTCGACGCCGCCCAAGTTCGACCATTCGGTCCAGTTATAGAATATTCCCACCCAGGTGCACTTCTGTCCGAAGACCCTGAAGAAATCATGAAATCGGGGAGGTGTCATCAGATTCCGATAATTTCCTTCCTTTCAAAAACCAAGAACTAGAACAATTTCTGTCGACACGTTTCTTCAAATCATCTGAAAAAACAATTTGTTCAGGCCAGTCTCAACTCCCTACACTTTAGGATGGACTGACATCCATCAGAAAACAACTACTCTCCTGGCTAATACCACGAAGGGCGTTGGATTATATACATATATGCAGTTGGTTACCTCGTTCACAGGCAGATGAGGCGATGACAAACCTGTTGTTGTTGTCTGCTTCCGCTTAGTTCGAGGAATGATACTCTGAAGGAATTCGATTTTCAATTGTCGGAATTCATCGACTTCCTGTTGATAATATACACTACCTTGCACTGACGAGTGGCCAAACAACCCGAAACCGGTCTGCAAGCGTGATCCAATAATTGAAAATCTATTGCGGCAGTTGTATCGTCGGATATAATCCAACACCCTTCGTGGTATTAGCCAGGGAAATAGTTGTTTTCTGATAGGTGTCAGTCCATTAACCTACAGTGTAGGGAGTTGAGACTGGCCTGAACAAATTGTTCTTTTGAATGATTTGATTTATAGCCAGTCTTCAAGTGTGCCCACTGACTATATGTGAGAAGATACGTTTTTGCTACACCATGACGTCAGCTTGTCAAATCTAGGAAGACTTGAAAATCCTACGCGTTCCCTAGCAAAGTACTCTTTGAAGTGAAAGAGACTAGAAAATAATGCTATTAGTTCAATGTTGCAACTGAAGCTCATGTTGTGGGCAGAACCAAGCCTAAATTCTGAAAGATCTTCCTAAATTTGACAAGCTGTACTTTTATGATGCCTACCAGTTGCCTAGTTGCTACTAGGCAACTAGCGAAAGAGTAAATGAAGCTCGAAATAAAATGGTATCATTGCCGCTGTTCATGGTTCGCATTCCATATTTCTCGATTTCTAGACTCAAAGGTCTCATTTATTCATGCAGTGGTCATTTTCTAAAAGATGATGAGCAACAATGGACTGTTTTGATCTCCGAATCCGAATACAAGAAAAGTTCTTCTTGAAACAAGTTATTATAGTCCGCTTAGTTTGACCAATACACTTCTTGTCGCAGTCTTCACTTTTTTTCGTGACCTCCAAGCTTCTCTGTTCACATCAACCTTTGTTTCGTATTGTCCAATACTTGTTGGGTAATACGAAACAATATAAAGCTGTGAAAGATACTTTTATAATTGTTTTCAGAAAAATCCACACCAAATCATCAGCATTTTTGGTGCACACAAAAAAAACTATCATTATTTGAATATTCGTCCAAATTTCTGAGTATTATATTCTTGATTAGTTTCTCGGGTACATCAGAAATGAATCCTTACTTTCTGCAATGTTCTTGATGACTTTTTCCCGAAATCAATTTAATAATAAGGGGACATTATCAATCTTTTCATCATTACAAACTAGCAGTCAATTTGGTCTTAACAATATAAAACAGAGTTTCCCTCACAAATCATACCACCCTACGGACTCTCAACCCTTAAACTTTCAAAATTATATATTAATTTGTTAATGACATTTCTCGGCATATCAGGCATTCTCAATTTCTCCTATATGCCGATGATCTCAAGCTGTTTAGAAGAATTGAAATCGAAAACGATTCTGATATGCTTCAATATGATCTCAATAATCTATCTACTTACTTTTCAGTATCTGACCTATCTCTCAACGAAGCTAAATGCAAAATAATGAGATTCACACGAAAGAAGTCACCCACTTCAAGGAGTATTTCATTAATCATACCAATTTACAGAGAATAAATGAGATGAAAGATTTCGGGATCATTTTTACTGGTGTGTTCAGTTTCTCTGTGCACATTGAATATATTAGTATCTGAATGTAATAGAAAAATGAGCTTCATCTTAAGATCTAGCCGTGAATTCAATCACGATACTTGTGTGTTACTGTTTAACTCTATTGTTCGTTCTAAGCTGGAATATGGTTGTGTCATTTGGAAACCAAAGACCTTTTTATATTCTGAAACTATAGAAAAAGTCCAGAAACGATTATTAAGAACACTCTTTTTCAGAAAACACAATGTTTGACCTTCGTTTATATCATATTCTAGCCAATCACAAGAATTCAACATGCAACCATTGTTTTTAACATTCTTAGAAAACTGAAAGTACCTGAAATTCTCTATATGTACCTGACGTAAGACTGAGAAGAAGAGACAATCTATTTCGTATCTCAAACAATTTGTCTCCTCTTCAACAATGTCTCGAAACAGTTAACAAAATGGCGAGGAACTGTGAACTGGATATATTCAGTATTACACAGGGACAACTCCTCCGAATGCTCAAATGTGTCTGAATATTTTTATGGCCATTTTATTATTTACTGTTTTATATTGTAATATTTTATATAGATTCCAACTGTATCAATGGTATTCAATGAATAGTATATGCAAGAAACTTTCGATAAAACTGTACATAAGTGGAAACCATTTTGTTTGTTGTTCAGTATAAATAAATTTCTATTCTATTCTATTGAAAGTGGTTACCCTCTAAGGCTAGCCAACAGTTCAATTTTCAACCGTTCTTTCGTCAGGAAGTTAGACTTCGTCAGAAGGTTAGGCACATACTGTTGATAATTGTATAATCTCCAAATATCACTTCATACAACAAATCAATTTTATATGACATAACATTTAAAGTATATCCAAAATTATTCAGAATATCACAATTACTTTCCGAATATTCAAAGAAAGTCATTTTTTGTGGAGGAAAAAATCAGTTTTTTTAACACAAAATTGAAAGACGAAACTCCAATTTCGCACACCTCTCGTACAGTTTATGGAATCACTTGTGCTAACTACAACCAGACTTACATAGGTCAAACTAGTAGGCTTCCCAAAGAATGAATCCCACAGCTCACATAAAAGATTTTTTCTAGGAAAATTGTTTGGGAATCCACTCAATTGAATTCTAGGAGGGACGAAGTCCCTTTGGTTCATTTTCCAACTTTTTCAATTTGAATAATGTTTTATATTAATAATACAACTTGTTCCATTTTTGCCCTCAATTCTGCAGTAGTTTTCAAGTAGTTCTTCGTAAAGTTCTTCTTTTTCGTTCCATAAAAAGTCCGAAACAATTCTTTTGAAAGAACTCCACGCAGCTAATTCAACATTACCTAATTTGTTATCAAACTAATGATCAGTTAGTGATTTTCTAATTTGTAGCCCAACAAATATACCTACCTCAAGATTTGCAAATGTATTTGAGATATTCAAATGCACCACCTTCTTTGACATTAAGACTGGTTTAATGTGTAATTGAGGTAACAAACCGTTTTTGGGGTTAACAAGGGGCATATTCGTCACGTTAGCTTAACCTGGAATATATTATCTCTCGGAGGACATTCTTTTACTTTATAACGGCTCTGTGTTGCCCTACTGTTCCAAAGGCAAAGAAAACAGCAAAACTTTGTAAATCCGCCCTGAAGACCTAGTAATAGTCTTATGACTTTCAGATAACCACATATTTGTCACGTATTATACCTTATTGCATTTAGAATAATGGATATACTTTCGTGTGTTTCCTTCATGACATCTGCATGTGCAAGAGTAATAGAGGGTCTTTTTTCACCATAATGGAGCAGAACGGCTTTCAAACTTGTTTTAGACTGATCTATAAATAAACGCCATTCGTCTGAGTTATGTGCAAATCCTAATTTTTTCATCACACCATTTGGATTTACACAAACACACATGTTATCCTGCATAATAATAAACGACGATAGCTCATGATTACGGTTTCTAAATATTGTAACTTTGGTCTAGTAAATTCCATTGTTGTAATCTAGACCCTAATAGTTCAGCATTCTCTTTGGACAAGTGGAGGTCTCGAACTAGGTCATTTAATTCAGGTTGTTCGATTAAATGGAGTGTTCTTCCTTCACTCTCAAGAAAATAAGTACCGTCTTCATCTAGCATATCATGGGAGCTGGGCAGAGCCGCTGTGTGCCAGATTTCAAACAATTTCCTCAGTTAAGGGGAAAATCAAACTTGGAATATCGTGTTCCTTAAATTTTTGTGGAAAAAATCATAACTCAAAAATCTTACGTGTTTGGAAATGTTTACTATCATTTTCGCATTTGGAGATCAGAAATGAACAAAAAACTGCCTTTGGCATTACAGTCGTAAATTGGCTGTAAACTATTGTGATTTTTACATATTATATTTTGACAAGACAATTGAGTTGGACTCCTAAAAAAGCCTACGAAATGGTTTTTGAAATCTTCAAATAATTCTTCTCGTGTTATTCGAATCATATCTCCTTTTCCTTTGCGGTTGTTTTCATGTGTTTGAACTTTAAGAATGTTCGTATATCCTTCAGATTTCATAATGTATCAAGAAAAACATTAATTTCTTTGCTGATTTCATATTCATAACCTCTACTTTCATAAGTAATACTTTCACTTGTTTTGCAATTGTAATTAAATTATATCTCATTGTACTATAGAATTACTGAATGAGAGCCTCCAAAGTCTTGCAGTTTGAATAGTGTTGCAGTTTGAACAGTCTTACAGTTTGAGGTCTCTTTTTTCTTGCCTCCAACTGCATTGCATGCTCCATTCTTACGTCGTTTCTCAACTCAGCCAGTCGAGCTAACCTATTCAGGTCTCGTCGCTGGTATAATCCAGTCATTTAAGCTTAAATTAGGTAAGAATCTCGGAATTCGAGATACCCAGCTGTAAGTCTGTGAATACTTGTATATTAACACCCTAAAAGTTGTCTCAAAACCTACATATGGTAGGGTGTACGCAACTATTAAATTTCAAGGTCAAAGATCACAAAAATCGGTTTTTTGCGCTTTTTTTGGAAATATCTCATTTCCTATGGGTTTTTTGCTATTTGTATTCAGTATCAATATTGTAGAATACAAAATTCTCTACAATTTTTGTTGAAAAAATTTTTTATACGGTGAACCGTTTTCGAGATAGAGGGCGGAGAGCGCGCGGTCACAGCATCACTTCAGGTCAACCGGTGCCTCCGGTCGAAAACGCGCCATATATAGTTGATGAACTATCGATAAATCAATGATCATAAATATTTGTCAATTTTTATTAACTATTATATTATATTTTATCATTTTTTTC